TTATCCTCTAAATTTAGCAACAGGATTTATCAACGTTTTCGTTACCAGAGCCCGACTTATAGACTTTTTCTGGCGATAATTCGTCGTTTACCGCCGCACGACACCATCGCTACATAACTTTGTCTTCTTACGGAGAATTCGTAAGGAGGAAGTAAAAATTCATTGCCAGGCCCAGATAACGAAAAAGTGGATAAATCCAGTCGCTAAATTAAGAAAAAAAATATCCTCTAACTCTTGGTGTAGCCCGAATCCGTGTTTTGTGGATCCTTGATACCGAAAAATTAATTGACGTCAAAACGTTCGTCTGTGAATACTACTAGCGCCTAAACCTTGTGTAGAATTTTTTCCAAATTGAAGAAATCCCTGTCCATCTGCCTCGAGTCGAAGCTTTGAGATTTTGAAAATTTATCTTTAAAATTTTGGTGTACATTACATGAAACTGCCCGGGCTTTTAAAAAGTTTTCTTAAAAATGAATCCGTATTTTTTCTTTAAATTTCTTGTACGAATAGATTAAAATAAATGTATAACGGTGGCATAGGTCCAAATTTCAAGGTTAACTCTTAATTTTCGAAAATTTGAATAATATCTGGCGTCTACCTACAACTACAAACTTAGATACAAACTAAAAAGATAGAGATTTTTCCTTCAAATGAAATTTGTTGCTCGTAATCAGTTCTTTCAATAAGATCATGTACTTTAATGAATATTTTAGTAGCTTTTGAGCCATATTGCGGGCAATATTTGTAATTTTTAAAAAATTACAAAAGTAGATTTCCTCAAAAACGGCTCCAAATATATTCTTTAATGTTTTGGTAGTGATATTCCTAATGCACTATATAATATGAGATAAACGCTATATTGATGTATTATTTTATTTTATAAAAAAAATACAAAAATGTAAATTATTTGACTTGTGTCTCACGTCATGAATATTTACCTTAGCGGCAAGTTGGTCGCATCACTGTATTTATGAGTATATGTGCTTTAAATAATATCAGATTAAGTTTTTGGAAAACTCAACCGTTTTCTGTGAAAACTAGCTCAAAAATGTCGCATTTTCAGAAACGCTCAAACGCCATTTTCGCAAAAACGGCTTCAAAATGTTTCTTCAAACATTTCGAACAGATAGTGGTAACTGCACTCTTTAACATGACTTAAAGTTAATTTCGATGTATTGTTTTTCCAAAATTACACAAATGTAAATTTTTTGAAAGATCTTTCACGTCGTTAATATGCAAATTTCCCGTAATTTATAAACACTATTGCATTTGTGAGTTAAAGTACTTCAAATAAACTTTTTCGAAAAACTCAAAACATTTCTGTGCAAAAAACTACAAATTTCGAATTTACAGTAGCGCTTAATCGCCGGTTTTTTAAAACGGTTCCAAGTGTTTCCAAGAAAATTGCTTTTTAGGACGAAGTTTTACTGTTCTTTAATATCCTTAAAGTAATATTTGCATTTTACTATTAGGAAAACGAAAAATTAAGAAAATAAAAAATATTGTTTGCGGCCACACAATCGTCTTGATGAGCTTGCCATTTTTAAACTGACTTGCTAAATTACATAGTTGCACTTACTAAATAACTTAAGCACGCTTACGAAAGAGACAAAAACGGTTACATCGAAAAAAAGACGTTGATCAATATCGATCTTCTCCCAATTTACCGTTTTCGATTGTTCCATAATTTACATCGACCGCTGTTACGGGCGAAATTGTAAAAAGGAAAAAACGTGTATGGAAAATCTGATGGTATTACAGCAAATCCGATTCCATATTCGCAAACAGACTTAAGAAATCATTCGGAAACACCCACTTTAATGCAAAGCCCCAAGACGATGTTTCTCTGCGTATTTGTTTTTTAATTTTGAAATAATACATGTATATGTAGGCCCTACTTATTATTCATAATGTATTTTTTTATATTGTTAGAAACATGTTTTCGAAGTTATTAATAGAACAAGAATGGATTTCATTTAATTTGCTTTATTTTCCGATTATTTTTAATTATTTTATGGTTAACTAGTTCATTAATGAGTGTTTATGGACCTTACACAAAACACGTAATAGTACACGTAACACCATTTTGAGTCTTTTCGGGTTCTTTATACCCGCGCGTGCTTTTTGAAAACATTATTCCTACTCCCCTACTATCAGAACAAATTACACATTTTTTAAATTCGATTAATTAAAGATATAAAGGAGGAAAACCCAATAAATGAAAGGTATAATGCTCAAATAAAAAAGTAACTCGTTATAAACAATATTTTGTTGAATTGACACGTAAATTACAATTTTGGAAGGTTCCCTTGAATTTATAATTCCCATTAGTTCAGTCACTCTAATTCCACAGTTACATATCACATAAAAATCACCTTTTTTAGAGAAACGTACACTTCCTGAGTAGTAATATATGAAGAACGTTCTTTTTTATGTTATGAAATCTTCAAAATAACTTTCAGCAAAGAAGCTAAACACAATGAAGAACAGTTTCATCAACGCAATAACATATATTCTTTCTTAAATTCTCAAACCCACTTAATGCATTTTCATAAATAATTTTCAGAGGATTTACTGCGACTTTGTAGGCTTTTTCAAGAATTCTTTGCGAGGAACTTCACAATATTTTTTCAATATTGTGTACTAACAAAATCTGTCCAACTATTGTTTTGCAATAATACGCACCTCTTTGCATAAATTTCTGCATTGTACACATAATGACTTCACTTTCCGATCAGTATTTTCATTCAACGCAAACATTTATATTTCTTAAATCTCAAACCACTTTATCACTTTCATATAATTTTCAGACGATATTAACTCGACGTTTGTAGACTTTTTCAAAATATTTTGCAGAACTTCACAATATTTTTTCATTTTGTACAATAAACAAAAATCATGTCCAACATTGTTTTGCAATAATACGCACTCTTTGGCATAATTTTGCATTGTACACATATTACGTTACTTTTATTTGATTCAATTAAAACTATTGACTATTAATTAGTTAAATTTGCTTATAAATTAATCCATTTATTAATGGAGTTTGTTTAATTATTTTTAAACAATGTATCATGCCACCAACTCCTTCCATGTATCATGCCACCAACTTCTTCAAAATTGAGCACTCCGATTTCCAATATCTCGTACGGTCTTCTTGTGACATCGAACTAGTGGACGTTATGAAATAGTACGACTCGAAGACTTTGAAGAGCCTATGAGCAAGTGTATTTGTTGGTGTCCAAAGTTGGTCTGTTCGGTGTGAAAGCTCTTTCGTTCATACTGAGCAACGAGAACAGTCACGTGTCGCATAGTTGTGACACATGACTGTGCTCGTTCTCGGTGACACTGCAGCATCTGTTCCACCCACATGCGTAGTGCACACACGTGCCCCGGCATCGCCTACCAGAAATGCCCCTTGCACTCCTCCCGCCCACGGCCAAACGGACGTTACTCACTCGTGAATACTTGTGACGCCACGAGTTGGAATGCTTCGACACTGAAACACGGGTTCTCAAAATAAAGTGGTTCACTACTTTTCTTTTACTCCATTAGGTCATTGTAATATTCACTTCCTCTCGTACGCGAAGGCTCCGAGGCCGGATTTGGCATTTGTGTCCACAGCGCGATGGCCCGGATGGTCGCGATTGTTGAGGCCACTGCTCAGTGGCGGTCTCGTAAAGGAGGGCTGGCGTTCGAATCACGCCCGAGTCAACATTTACGCTATCTCTGATGTGTGTCTGAACCAATGAGGGTTATTTTGGTTTTGCTGCTATACTTTGAACCGCAGACGGCCATTACCTCAAACGTGGAGGCACCGTTAGAATAAATTCAACAAGATGGGGTTTATGGCAATTTTGAATTTGATCAATGCTGTTCCTGGAAAAATGCAAACATCCAAAGTAACTTTTTGACTCTTAAACGGATTGTTTTTATGGAAAAAGATGATCTGATTTCAAATTTGCAAAGCATTTGTATGTAATGGGCAAAGTTTCTTTGTAATTGGCAATTAGAAAGTTCATACTGTTGTAAGGTATTTTTAATTTTTTTAAATATTATTTTTTACCCGACTTAACTGGAGTCATGCAACAGCAATGTTGCAAGGAAGAGGCCGGCTGACACTAAATATTCACGTCTTGCTTTGTTGAGCAACAACATTTCGGATATTCGTGGTATTTAAAGAACTGTTTGCAGATATTACTAAGTATTCGTGAAGGATGTTTCTTTTAAATTGCTTAATTTGTTGCGGAGTTAAACAAAGGTATTTTATTTGTTGTTCTTGAGCAGTGTGCGAGCATGTTTTTTGAAAAACCGTTTGAAATGGTTTTGTTCAGTAGCATTCTTCCTGTGATATATCGGTTCTTTTACTGTTTCAGCAAGACACTCCTAATCGGTCTTATTTGATTCCATGGGATACAATCACTATTTTTTTGCCTTGTCAGATCAGTGTTCCTCATTACAAAATGTGCATCTTTCAGTATTGTCACAGTATGCATTTTCACATTCACACACCATTTTAAAAAAAATTATTTCCTACCCGTTCGGCCCTTCAGGCCTTTCGCGGGTTATTATTTACAAAATATGCATTACTTGAAGAACATAACAGTCTCTTCCAGTTACATCAGGGAAGAGGTACACTTGAGATCATGTTTTAATCTATATACACTTCCTGTTTACATTTAACACAAAAATATAATATTGAGTAAAAACACTTGTGAATAATACACATATACAGCTATTACAATCACATATAATGTAAATAACCTTATCACTAGCGGTTTTAAGCGATATTTTGGAAGGCGTGACTATCCTGGTTGTACGCTGTACGGCCAAGGTTGAAAGTTCTTTTTCTAGGACAATCTTCAAGCCTTAAATAAAAAAAAAATCGATAGCTTATTTATGTACACTTCAATGCAAGTAATGTTTAATTCCCTTTGGATTTGTGCAACCCAGTCTCGCCGGCATTGCTTTCGTAGTATCGGACCCCCAAGGCGCGCGCGCTATCTGCCGTTGAAATCGATGCGCTGCCCCTCGAGGATAGCAGCTGCCGGAACCGCCCTACTCTCGCCTGTTCTCGCCAGCGTCGGCAGTCTCGGCGCGTCGACTCTGCGCTGCTTGCTGGTAGTTTCGGTGTTTATTTGCGAGAAGCGACATGAGCTCGGTAACCAAAGAGGCTGTAAGAAATCATTTAACTAATGGAAGCTACATATTAATGACCAAGAGTGTAAATGATAAAACAAGTGTAAGCTGGATGAATTAAAATTATCTATTTAAAAAAAATACATGTATTTATTAATTTTATGGTTGAGCAAAATACTTAAATTTAGATTTTAAATACTTTGCCAAAATACTTTTCACACAGGTGAACCACCTAAGTTGGCACCAGCAAATATCTTCAAAACTGTTTGAGGTATCGAGATACTATTTGCGACATGTTGTTGCAGCTCATGGGACAAATAAAATATTTCGTTTTCTTGTTAGTACTGAATGTAGTTCTAGACACAACTTTTTTTCTTAAATGGGAGTATATATTTTTTCTCAAGCATTATAAAGTTCTTTAAAAATGAAATGCAATGATATATTGTTAATATTGTGCAAATATATAAGTTATCGAAACGTTTTATTATTAAGGTCTTGCCAGTTTACCGAAATATATTGAGGCTAGATATACAATTACAAGTTCCGCTAGATTGCTTATGTATTGGTCCACAAATGCCGCCTGACCGCCTGGAGTATGAGCGATGGCCGGTGGCGCCTCCCGCATTCATTTGACGCGGTCGGTGTCGTTCGTTCTCGACCATGGCAGTGTTGGGCCAGGGATTATCGGAACCAGCAGTATCGGCGCACTGGTCTCGTCGCCGGGGAGGAACGGAACTGAGCTAATTTATTAATACGCATGTTTGCAGCGCCTCAACGTACTGAATACGCACAGGTCAGTGGTTATAGATTAATAAATTGTTACTCTGTTTTCTATTCTTAATGCTGAGTTTTTATTTATTTATGAGTAACGTTTAACAATTTTTGTATAGGTTTTGTTAGCAATGTCATCTACGTTGTTCTTCCATGATAATCTCCTAATTTGACTCCTAGGTATTTGATAGGTTGGTTATTGTTTAACCACACAACCGGAGTGTTACTGATTGTTAAAACTGGAAGGGTTATGAATTTTTTAAGCGAGAATTTTTTTTACGTGAATTCTTTGGGTTTATCTGGATTTTCCATTTATCAGTCCATTTTATTAAGGTATTTAAATCATTTTGAATGTATTCTAGGGAAATATTCAGTTCTACATGTTGTGAAAAGATGGTTGTGTCATATGCGAACAAGGCTATTATATCCATTAATGCTTGTAAAACAGTAAGGTACATTTTTAATAAAGTCGGTGACAATGAGGACCTTTGGGGAACTCCATATGATATTCTGTATTTTTCCGACATTGTGTCGTTTATTTTTATATTAAATTATCTGTTTAGCAAAAAAATTCCAATTTTATCTTAAAGATATTTGAGGATGCCTAGATGGTGGAATTTGTATTTCAGTCCTGCGCCAGACACGGTCGAACGCTTGAGTAACATCTAAAAATTAAGCTTACGTGTACTCTATCTCATGAAAACCCTTCGCAATAAAATTCGCAACTCTTAAAATTTTGTTTTTAGTCAAGTGATTTGCTCTAAATCCAAACTAGGCATCTGGTATGGAGTTCGTAGCTTATAAGAATTTATTTAACCGAGCTAAAATGAGTATATCAAACACTTAAGGTAATAAAGGTAACAGGTTAATTGGCGTGTAATAGTCTAGTAATTTGGGCATTTATTAGGTTTGTTTATTGGAATGATTATTATATTTTTCCATTTGCTTGAGTAATAGCCTTTTCTTAAATCTGTATTTAATATTGTTATTGCTACAATTGAGAAATTTGGTAATTCTTTTAATATTTGACTAGTTATTAGGCCGTGCTCAGCGGCTTTTCTGTTTTTGAGTCAAACGGCCCCAAAAACAGAAAAGCTGCTTGTGCGTTTGTGCCATTGGCATTTTGCGATTATGTTGTGCAGGAGATATGGATTTTGTTCTTTGAGAGTTCTTTTGGAGTATATAGGTTACTTCACGCTGTTTAAAATTTCCTCATTAAACATATGGTGTACTATAGGATTTGGTTTAAAGGTACTTACGAAGTGAAAAGCAAAACTTTCTGCTTTTTCTTCATCTGTATGGAGAATTAATGGTGGTATTCTAGATTGCTCGCTGGTAGCCTTTTTGATATTAGTCCATAATGAAGGTGAGCCTGGTCTAATTTGCGCTAAAATATTGCTTAAATGAACTATAGCTGTGTTCACAGATTAGACATTTTCCTTTTTTGCATAAAGAGTTCCATTTCTTTTCTAAGTGTGACCTTCTATACATCTGATAGTCTTCGAATTCTGTGTTTGTCTTTTATCAAGTCCACGATGTGTTTCGGTAGCCAGTAAGATGAATGTTCTTTTAGATTGCACTGGTGGACATGATTCTGTTAGCGCGAAGCTTATTGCTTCTATTTTATTATTACTTTGTTGATCCATATCTGCTTCGTTTTTACTATTTTTTGGGAACAAAAATTGCGTGGCAATTTTTATCCTAAATATATTCCAGTTTACTTTACTATTTATTAATTTTCTTATATTGTTTACTTTAGTTGTAGCCTAATATGATATTATTATGGGGTTATGATCCGAATCGATCAGGTACTACCGAGTAACAAAGGGATAAATTATGTGTGAGGTTGGACTTATGTCAAGAATGTCCGTAGTGCCTTTTGTTTTTAAATGGATACCATGTGGGTACGTGGGGGAGTCCAGGCAGTCAGAAGTGGGACCTTCAATTTGGGAGTGACTAAGTTCTTTATGAATTATTATCGTGACCCCACCTGAAGCTTTACGAGAAAGCCTATCACACACACACACACACACACACACACACACACACACACACACACACACATATATATATATATATATATATGTATATATATATATATATATATATATATATATATTGTATTGTTTCATCATCTGCCAGGATTCGCTGCGCGGATTGCGTGATCTGTCGTCGCCCCCTCTTTCCCCCGAACTAGACGGTTCCGGGCCATTCGCGACTCGCGAAGAGGTGTTGCGCACTTTCCCGAAACTCGAAGCGAGCGCCGGCCAGGTATAAATTCGCCGCTGCCGGCGGCCGCTAGTAGTAGGCGGAAGTAAGAAGCCCCGAGTCAGTGAATGTAATCAGTCAAGTAGTAAACAGTCAGTCCGTCAGTCTGTCTGAAGTGGAAGCTGAGCTGTAAATTGTGCATTGCTGTGAACAGTGAAGCAGTGGGTGAACAGCAGTGGAAGTTGAGCTGTGAAGTGTGCAGCGCGTTTAACAGCAGTGCAGTGGACCCTGGTCTGCGCAGTGAAATGTGGTCCACGCAGGGAATTAAGGTCAGCGCAGTGGACCGTGGACAGTGCATCGGAATGGGTGATACTGTAGAAGTGATCAGTGCAAATAAATAATCAGATTTCAATGAACAGTGTAAATAAATACTCAGACGAAGTGGACTGTGTAAATAAATAATCAAGAGAACGGAGACTTGCGTAAGGAAAATAATCAAGTGTAGAACACAAGGACTGTGTAATCTACCTGTAATAAATCAAGTAGTTTTAGTGTATAAAATAAATAATTTATAAAATAAACGTTATTGTTTAAATTTTACTTACGAGTGTTTTAATTCACCACCTTCAATGCGGTACTGTTCACTACATTTGTTCACTACATTAATTTTGAAGGGACAGGTGTTTTTGCTCGTGAATGGGCCTTTAAGGTTTTGGTAAAAGCATTGAAAGAAAAACTCCACTATCAATTTTCAAACAAATAAACAATTTATTACTAAGAGAACAGGAATTAGTACATTTGCAATCAAATGATTTCTCGTTTTCCTACCAAAACATGCATGTGAGCTCAAATTTACGCAATACCTTAAGTTCCACGAATCGGTCGTTCCTTCTTGAATGTTCCGCCGCTGGCGGAGGCGGCGTCGGCGGCCTTCGGCTCGCCTCGGATCCCCTCGGGTGGTCAACCTTTGCCCGGAGGCCCGCGCCTCCTCGCAGCTCTTCGCAACGATTACACGATGGAACCAGGGCTCCAGCCCCGGTCGTTGTGAAGATAGTTCAGATCGGATGTGCGGTACCCACTCTTACTGTCCGTCACCCTTTTGTTCTTTATCCCAGCTCTCCCTGGCTTCACAACTTCTCAGTCCAGCTTTATTTACTCTCACACAGTCACGTATGCACGTGGCCACTAACTATTACCATCACCGGCCACGTGGTCTGTTAGTTTCATTATACTATACATACATACAGCACTTACCTCACTTCCACAAGTTTGCACAATTGCCTACCAGTCACTAGCACGCTTGGCTCACTCCTAAAAACCGTTTATTTCGTAATTTAATTTCGATTTGATACCTATTCGCTGAGCGCGTCACAACCCTTCCGCTAACCTTCAAGCTTTTCTCCGCACTAACTGTCGGCCTCGCCGCCTTCTCGCGCCGTTTCGTGCTTTCTCGCCTCTGGTGTTGTCCGTTGCTCGCCTGACCGCCAGACCGATTTTTCCGTTGCTCGCCACCGTAACTACGCTAATCAAGATGTATGTATTTTACCAAAAATTGTATCGAGTTTTAATTTATTTACAGAAACATATATATTAAAACCGGGTATTTTGAATTTGTCAGTTGGATGGAAATGCGTTTTCGTAATGCAAGCTAGCATGTGCTTCCGTAAGGAAGCGTGAAATAACATAAACTCCTTAAATATATTCTCTTGTTTACTTAAACCATTTGCGTTCGAGTTTAACAACTTCAAATCAGTAAGCTGGTTACGATTCATTTTCGTTACGCATCTTGAATCATATTTTGGAGTTGTGGCAATAAAAATTCATTATCTGAGTAATCACAGTACTTGTGATTGATTTGATTAATCTATTCATAGCAATGCTTTGATTCGTGTACGGCGTCGTATTTGTATCGTTCTTTTGAGGATTATTTAAAGGTCTTCTTCAAGGTGTGGTCTTTCTGGAAGAGAGGGAATTGGATATTGTTAAAGATCGGAAGTTCGCTTTATCTGTGTTGCCTGCATTCATACCGCATCCCTTAATCTACGCCTTGCGAATTATTCACCTCTCAAACCTCGGAGACACAAGCGTGGAATAACCTAAAAATGCGAAAACAGAGTCAAATAAGAACCAACTATTTGTGCGTCTCGCTTCATTGTATCATTGTCGTTTTCAACTCGACTGAACTTTCTTTTCCTGTGTTTTCTCGAATCAAATCCCTAGTTGGTCTACAGTGATAGATGTCTGCTCTAAGTATTTTAATCATTAAACGTGCATACGTACAATACCTCCTAGAAAATTAAGGACATGTATTATTTTATTTTAATAATGTAAATAGTGTAATCCATGAACAATTAAATAAATAAAATTACATGGCACATCATACTCATATTTTCAAAGATTCAATATTAAAACAGAAACTGAAGATGAAAAATTTCATGGAAGATTTTGGTGGAATCTAATTCTACCTCTTTGAATAATTTATCTTCCCCCATAAAAAATGTGAAAAACAAGAAAACAAATACTGTTTAGAGATGTTTATTGCATTGAAAACCTACTTTCAATGCTCAGAACAGACTTCAGAAATTCTGCAGAGCCGTTGCTTTCGAAAGTCAGAATTTTGTGTGGAGGAAGAAGTGATGGACGACTTACAAGGCGGCGGCGATGGTGTAATGGGCGGCAGCGATGGTGTAATGGTTAGTGTATCGGGCCGTTATACCCAAGTTGGCGGGTTCAAACCATACGAGAAAATCCTTCGTAAGCCTTCCTTCGGAGGGGAAGTAAAACCTTACGACATGTTCGTAAATTTACTTGCATGTTAAAGATCCTCAAGCCCAAATGACGCCTCTGCGGTAAATTCAAAATCGCCTGTTTCTCGCCCAAGAAATACCTTCTTTCTCCGCTTGTTGGTGAAAGGAGCGTAACGAAATATGCGTGGTCAGACGGAAGAGCAGGCCTCATGGCATGAGTCTCGCCATATAAAATAAGGCAATTCAATTCAATACACTACCAATAGTAGCAGATGTTCACTTTTTTTAGGCTGGTTAAGCTAATTACACTTTTTTGAACGCGGCGATGGTGTAATGGTTAGCGTACCGGACTGTTGGTGGGTTCAAACCCGATCGACGCCGTGGATTTTTAAGGGCGAAAAAAATCGTTCGTACGCCTTCCTTCGGAGGGGCAGTAAAGCCGGCTGTCCCATGTTAGTAGATTTACTTGCATGTAAAAGATCCTCAAGCCTAAATGACGCCTCTGAGCTAAATTGAAATCGCTTGTTTTTCGCCCAAGAAATACCTCCTTTCTCTGCTAATTGGTGAAAGCAGCGTAGCGAAATTTGCGTGATCAGACGGAAGAGCAGGCCTCATGGCCTGAGTCTCGCCACGTAAAATAAGGCATTAATTCAATTCAATTCAACTGATAAACATATTTTACTAAGGGAAAAAATGTATCTTCATAATATCCTTCTAAAAAATTAATTGTCGAAAGATCAGGGTTTTCTACCAACATGAGACCTACACTTCTCACTTAAACGCCTTTCAGATTATTCACTAACAAAATCTCATCAAAAACGATTGAGCTATTTTTGAGAAAAAAATGTTCAAACGAACACTAACAATTGCCTATATTTCACGCAAAATAAAGTGAAAATACTCACATTTTTGAAATAGTGTACGTAGTCTTATTTCAAAATCTATCTGTAAGGAATAGATTATGTTAAGGGGAGAATCTCTGTAATATTTTTATGGTAGGAAGATGCCGAAAAATTTTGAGCTTTTTCAATTTCTGAATAATCAGTTTTCAATCAACATTAGACCATTGCCAATCTCTTAAACGTCCACCTACTCAATTTGATTAAAATCGATAGCGCCAATATTATGAAAATTTTGAAAACGTCCCAGGGGCATCACTAAAGTTACCACCAAAATTAATATATTGGTTCCATATTCAAAGGACCATAACATCAGTCAAATTGATCGGGGAATATCCGTTTTGGAGGAAATCGGCTGAACAGTTCAGCCGCTAGCGTTGTTCACAAAAGGACAAACGTTTTGTCATCAATCGAAATTTCGGTATCAATGACTCATAATACAAGGATTCTGGCTTCACCACGTGTTATAGAATTTTTCTTTTTAAATTTAGCCGAAAATCCACAGTTTTTCGCGGAGCATTACGTAAATCTCTCTTCTTAAGAAGTTCCTTCTGAAGCGCGAGAAAGTAAAAATGTCAAGTTGATTTGGGTACACTTCAAAAAGTTAAAAAGTTCTCTACCAATGGCCCTCAAACTTTTATACGATATTCAACCCGCTTCAAAGATTGTTTTTTATTATTTTTTCGACAGTAATATACCCGCGATCGCGAGAAAACAGCTTTTTTAACGATCAGCTGTGTATCGTAGCAGCAACCACGCCATCTGCCGGAAGCAAGGGGAACACTCGCTGTACTTGCTAACGACAACCGCAATCACATCCCCTGTTCTCAATTATTAAGAAAGAAAGTAACTACTTGTATCCCATTCAGATAATTATTCAATCTGAATTAAATATTCACCTTAATCGAGGTACTTTTGTATGATCGTGTCGTGACTGAGCTGCGCCCTACGTAGAGGTTACGTTTCGTATGAGAGTGAGCAGAAAAAAAATATTTATTTTGTCGTGGTAAAACGGTGACGCTTTGTCAAATTTTAAGTGACCTAGGGGTTACCACAAATGTGGAAGGATGACCACCACAAGAAATGTGTGTCGGTCACTCTAGGATAGCAGGGTGCACGCGCTGAACTTATTTAAAGGGCGCGTGGAGAATTCTTTATTTGTTATCCGTGCATCGGCATTGAGCGTCTCAGGGGTGCATGCCCTGTGTCGCAGGAGTGCATTGTATCTACTGCAGACTAATAATACACAGACTGGATTTATAAAGTGTACCCCGTGGAAATGGCGAGAACACATTTATTAAAAGAAAGAAAAATGTCTCTTCATTCAATTGGTCCTCTCGTTACAGTTGTCTGATTGTCTTTAGTTCATTTGACAACTTGTTGTGCCTTGTTGTTCTTTGTGTTATAGGTCGAGTGGTGCCAACATGATTTGGCGCCCAGCTGCGCCTTATCCTTCGCCCCCTTGATGTTATTTCCTCCTCAGCTATATTGCTGGTGAGCTGCTACCGATTTTCTTTTCCGGCGAATTTTCGCTGTCGATAAAACGAGGCAGGGTGATCGGAAGGGTTTCTTCCGCCCCCCCCATATATATATATATATATATATATATATATATATAATGATTTATATTCTTGTATAAAATAATATTAAGATATCAACAATAAAGATATATTCTAGGGTGCACGCACATGGAAAAAACGGACAAACACAGAGGTTATGTTCTGAGCTATGACGAATTGGGCCCCAAACAGCTACGCGGGCCGAATGAGGGCAACTCTCTGGAAAGATTTTGGGCCATGCGAGGGAGGGTGTGCGGGCGGTACGTCCCGACTTCCTCCCGACTAAGGCGGCCCGGCGCTCGGGGATCTTGCGAACAATGGCAACCTCTTAAGATGGCTTCTGATAATGACCGAGGATTGGGAAAAGCGGCTAGTTGCCGCAAGCTGACACGCTCATCGCTGATTTCAGTAATTTTTGGGCCAGAAAAGCCAGCATGCGGGCCGTTCGCGCACCCAATGAACCGATCAATCTGGAAGAAACAACGGAGGCTCCTGAAGGCGATGGCCCTCCCGAGGAATCTATCCGCTGCAAGTGTTCATGATCGATTCCCCCAAGCGGGGTACGGCGTGGCGCGCTGACCTAAATCTTCCTAACCAATAGAGAAATCCGGGTTAAATTGGAATAGACAAGTGGATAGTTATTGGATAAACGAGAAGTAGGGCGGAGTTTCGCCGAACACAACGGGAGGTGATGAAACAGCTCCGCGGTATGGGGAACAGGGACGAAAAAAAGGAGAAAGAATCTTGGGGCGATCGCGAAAAGAAGGAATCACGATGCGAGCGCGAACAGTCCCAATTACGAGGAGACCGAGTTTATACGATATAATTTAGGCTCGTGAGAGAGCGAAACACCCTGCGATTGACTTGAGCTCGTAGCTGGTGATCATATCGAGCGCATTGTTCTCCGATGCAGACAGCAATGCAATAATTTTTCAGTAACTCGCCCTACGAACATGTTGAGGTCGACAGAGTATCAAAACGAGCACATTGCTCATTGATATAGGTGGCTGCGCAATGGACTCTGAAAAATTACCGCGGCAGAACTGACTACGTCGGTAACTGAGACGTCGAGATTAGCGTCGACGACGTAGTCACAATTACGTGAAACGGCGGACCAGGGGCGGGGGAGAACAACTGCGAGTCGGAGTTGGCGACTTCCCGAACCAAAGGGCGGCGGACTTTGTGTGCGCGAGCGGACAGCGGCGCGGCGCCCACTGAGAGGGGGACTCGATCCACCCTCCGCGCTGGGCAAGGGTGCGGAACTGAAGGGACTTACAAGAGAGATGAAAAAAGGATATAAATTGTATAGTTCGTTGTACTAGATTATAATAGATCAAAGATCACGCGCATTGTGACTTTCGGCCCTAATCTGTACCCAAATTCAGCCTCGAAGAGTATGTCTTGTAATGTCCTTTTTACCAGTCTAAATCAATTCTTTCAATTACCACCTTGAAATCCAAGAAAATGATTCCTAGCATGTGTAAATAATTTGAAGTAAAGTTAAATGAATGTTAACAATCAGTTAATAGAAAAGCCATAGAAAGAGCACCCGGACAGCCCTCGACACCAGCGTTACAAACTACAATACCAGAACCAGGAACGAATAAATAGAACAGGGAACGAATCCACACCCCATGACGATTTACTGATAACGTCACAAAATGGCTACGTAACTCCATCAAAATATATAAAAAAAAATTATGCGCTTCATATGGGCTTCATTGGTGCTGAATGTTGGCGTGTGATGCAAGGCGAAGTCGACAGGCTTAGGAGAGACAGGAGAGGACAGTGAGTCAGAGAAAGGGAGAGACAGGGAACACAGAGATTGAGACAGAGCGGAAGAGACAGAGGGAGAGAGATAGGGAGAGAGACAGTCAGCCACAGTGTCCGAGACGGAGAGAAAGATAAAGAAAAGCTCGAAGAGAATGAGAGAGGGAGAGGTGAGAGAGGGAGACAGAGAGAAAGGCAAAGAAAGATACAGAGTGAGAGAGGGTGACGAAAAGAGAGAGAGGTAGACGGAGCGAGATCGCGATGCAGGGAGAGTGAAAGAGAGAGAGAGAGAGCAGACAGAGACGCAAAACGCGACGTAGAGGGAGACGGTGAGAGAAAGATAAATGGTAAGAGAGACAGAGACGGTGAGAGAGAGAAACGGCGAGAGAGAGACGGCGAGTGAGAGAGAGGCGCGAGAGAGACGACGAGAGAGAGAGACGGCTAGAGAGAGTCAGAGACGACGAGAGAGATTGAGAGACGGCGAGAGAAGCGACAAACGTGTGTGGGAGACGGCGAGAGAGAGAGAGAGAGAGAGAGAGAGACGGCGATAGAGAGAGAGACGACAAGAGAGAGTGAGAGACGGCGAGAGTGAGAGAGACGGCGAGAGAGAGACGGCGTAAGTGAGAGACGTCGAGAGAAAGTGAGAGAATTAGGTAGAGATTGAGAGACGGCGATAGAGAGTGAGAGACGGCGAGAGAGTGAGAGTCGGTGATAGAGAGAGAGACTCACAGAGAGAGAGGTGGCGATAGAGAGTGAGAGACGGCGAGAGAGAGAGAGGCGAGTGAGAGACGGCGAGAGAGACGGCGAGAGAGAGTGAGAGATGGCGAGAGTGAGAGACGTCGAGAGTGAGAGAGAGAGAGAGAGACGTCGAAACTAAGAGAAGGAGGTAGATTGTGAGAGACGGCAATAGAGAGTGAGAGACGACAAGAGAGAGTGAGAGACGGCAAGAGAGGCGGCAAAAGAGTGAGGGAGACGGCGAGAGAGAGAGAGAGAGACGGCTAGAGAGAGTGAGAGCCAGCGAGAGTGAGAGAGACGGCGAAAGAAAGAGGCGGCGAGGGAGTAAGAGACGCCGAGAGAGAGAGAGACGTCGAGAGTGAGAGAGACGGCGAAAGTGAGAAACGGCGAGAGAAAGTGAGAGACGTAGGTAGAGATTGAGAGACGGCGATAGAGAGTGAGGTTGGCGAGAGAGTGAGTCGGCGATAGAGAGTGAGAGACTGACAGTGAGAGACTGCGAGAGAGAGTGAGAGACGGCGAGAGAGAGTTCGAGAGAGAGACGGTGCGAGAGAAATGGACAGAGAGAGAGAGATAAGGCGAGATAAATAGGCGACGAGAAAGAGACGGCTAGAGAGAATGAGAGACAGCAAAAGAGAGACGGAGAGAGAGAGAGAGAGAGAAAGAGAGAGAGAGAGACGACTCGAGAGAAACGGCGCGAGAGAAACGGCGCGAGAGAGACGGAGAGAAAAGCGGAGTGAGAGACGGAGTGAGAGAGACGAAGAGAGAGAGAGAAAGAGAGAGAGAAGGCGAGAGAAATAGGCGGCGAGAAAGAAAGAGACGGCTGAAGAGAATGAGAGACGGCGAGACAGAGAGAGAGAGAGAGAGAGGCGGCGAGAGTGAGAGACGGCGCGAGAGAAACGGCGCGAGAGAAACGGCGCGAGAGAAACGGCGCGAGAGAAACGGCGCGAGAGAAACGGCGCAAGAGAAATGACGCGAGAGAAACGGCGCGAGAGAGACGGCGAGAGAGAGACGGCGAGAGAGAGACGGCGAGAGAGAGACGGAGAGGAAAGCGGAGCGAGAGACGGAATGGGAGAGACGGAGAGGGCGAGGGAGAGAGACGAAGAGAGAGAGAGAGAGAGAGAGAGGCGGAAGGAGAAGGAACTACATAAAAGACAGATGAACGCCTGCCGGGTGTTGTTGGTCTGCAATAATTTCTTGATTTTGAAGTTATATGTGTCGAGCAACGCGTTCATGGCGCGGTAACAAGACAACGCTAAAATGAAAGGTCATATTACACAACTTCACAAAAAGTTCCGGTTAGAAACGTTAACCAATTACTTATTTTTATTCACACACTGTTTCCAAATAATCCGAAAGAAAATTTAACCCTTGTGAGACTTTGCAAAAACCCAATATACAAAGCCCGTGTCAAGAACAAATTCTAGTGTTTACACTTTGCTGAAGAAATTCTCAGATCTCGATCCAAAGTAGAGTGATCATGTACAGTTACCTGTATAAACCTTGTAGCAAGATTATTGTAAGTTAATTCTAAGTAGATTTTAGCAATCATAACAAATGCAATGTGTTATTATATTTCTTTCCTTATATTTCTTTCTTTCAAACATTATATTTCTTTGAAAAGAAAGCAAATGACCAGAAGAAAGGCAGAAGACTCTATAGGGTGTTCCAGTCAAGAACGAAGACAAAAGTTTATTCAAGAAAAAAGCGAAGAAATGGAAGAATATAGCGACAACTGGAGATGTTAAGAAATTTTCCAGGTCATCCGAAATATGGCCGCGGAGTGTAAACCAACAATGGTGATTGTTAAGAACGAGAACAAAATAAATACAACCAAAGAAGAGATCACTAAAAGATGGGAAGAATACACGAAGAAGTTATATGAGAAGGACTTACATATAGAGTAGTGGATAAATATAGATGATTACGAATAAGAACATGAGATCGAAGAAATGATTTGGGCGATAAAACAACTGAAAAATGGGAAGTCCCAGGCTGTAGATAATATTATAATCGAACTATTCAAAGATACAGGGGAAGAACTCTTGGCGAAACTAACACAATTATGCAATGTAATCTGGAAAAGAAAAGAGTGACCAACATATATATTACCAAAGAAAAGGGACAGCCGAGATTGTGCAAATAACAACACAAATGCATGAATACCGAGTGATTCAATCGGTAAAAGTCCTCCCTCAGAAAAAAAATGAGATTTTAAAAATGTTGATGTAAGCATATACTTTCTTAAGATTTTCAAAAACAATTCACATTGAAAGAAACCTCATTTTCTATCTTCTTTGGAAAGTTGTGTAGATTACATTACGTCGCGTAAGCGTTAGCGTAAAGCATATCTTAAAATCATACTCACAAAAAAAGATATCCTTCGTTTTTAAACTCGTTTGAGAGATCCATATTATTTATATCATTGTGGGCAACACGTCACGAAAGATTCACGTCCAACTGGTTTTCCATACTGCAAATTCTACAGATAACTTTTTCTAGACAATCCACTTTTAATAAATCAAAGAAAATGGAAGGGAAACATGCTCCAAATGCAAGCAAACATCTAGGAGTTATCCAATTGCATCATTTTTTTGCATCATAGATTTTAAAAAGTTCATTTTTACATCGCCTTCCGCTTACGGAGTTAGGAGAGGTGTTACTGCAGGAGCGGATCCAGCCGATTCTTTTTCGGGAGGTGTATATTTTTGTATACATATATTTATGTAAATAATAAATGTATTTGTTATTTTTTTATATTATTTAGAGATTCACCAGATGAACTCTTTAAAGTAGATAAACGTATTTTTGAGATCAAAAATCGAGTTGTAGGGTAAAAGAGCTCGTGCGTATACTCCACTCATTCTTTCCGGTATTTGACAACGGAAGATCTTAGAGCAAGGTGGAATGATAACAGAAGACCTTAGTACTAAAATATATCTAAACCAAGATTTGAGAAGATGGAATAATGGTCATATTTAGAGAATTAGTTCCTATTTTTAAAAAAACAGTTGCAAATCAGACACGATGTTTTGAGTAATGTCTCAAACAATTTTAAGAAGGTATTCGAAGAAAAACGGAAATATGCTAAAAAGATAGTTATGTACTACTATTAGAGACCGTTTACCTCGGTCTGTAATAGTAGTATAGTATCGCTAGTATGATATCTGTGGAAAAATAGACTGAGATGCAAAGTGGCGAACGCATAAACCGACTGTGTGGCTTGCGTGTCCCGCAAGTTACGCCTCCTCCGTCGGGGCTGGCCGCACGCCGACGGGCCTGGCCGTGCAGCCGCGCTGGCAAGAGTCCACAACGGGCGGGTGGGTGACGCAGCGGCGCAGAAAGCGAAGGGGAGGGTGCGAGGTGTTTTCCTAAATTTCACTTTACGACGCTCCTATTTCTTCGATTTGCATGATTGTCACGGCGTTCGTTTCAGGAAGCATGTCGCCATCGCGCTAGAAGCCCGCATTTTTTCTCGGATGTTTGAGAACTAATTTTATATTCGCGTTTTTGCTAGATTTTTGGAAAAAGGGCTTCGTAGCGTAAATTATATTTTAAAAAAGGCGTCAAATGCAGTTTACAGATCGAAAATCGCACCATTGGTTCAGAAGTTATCGGTAAAGTAAATTTTACTTATTTTGGTGCTGCCACGTGGTGGCTACAAATGGTACTAGTGACGGGACATTTAGCCTTAACGTCCAGAAGCAAAACTAGAGGCCATCTCAGCATTTGCTCAGTGGATTAGGAAAACGACACATGC